AGGGTGGGGTTGGAACGCAGCGATGTGCAGAGAGCTCGGGGCCGAGGTGCGAGGGGGGACTCTGACACCCATCACTGCTGACCCTTCCTGCTCAAGGCTCGAGGCTTCCTGCTTGAGGCGCTATCACAGGCAGCAGTCAGGGCCCGGGAGCCTCCCAGCTCGTGACCCGCAGAGGCCACGCAGGTCTGCAGGGAGCACCGCCAGCCCAACAGGCGCCCCCCGGAAACCAGAGGCCCCTCCCTGGAGGGTTCGGGAACCCCAGGCCAGGAGTCCTGGGCTGTGGCCAGTTCCCGGCCGGGCAGGGCGGGCTGGGAACTGCGCCGACGGGGACAGTGATGGATGGAGTGGCTTGTTCCAGCGCATTCCACGCTCTTTCCCACCGGCGCTGCCTGGCCGAGGGAGCCCTTCCTCTGGCTGCTCGGTGACCTACACTGGGGACCGGAACAGCCGTCTGGGAGATGAGCGTCCCTCGTGGGCCCTGGGAATTTTCTGCAGGGTGGGAACGCGGGGGCCTGCAGCTGGGGCAGGAGGGGAGGAGCGTCCTGGTCCCTGGGACGTCTTGGTGGCTCCCGTGTGCCTGGGGCGGCCTTTGGGGTGGCCGTGGCATTGGGGACCCCCACTCGGTTGCTCCCTAAGTCTCTGCCCAGTCCCGTGAGAGGCTCCCGGGGTCCAGGGTGGGGTGGCAGTCCCTGGTGGGGTGGCTACATGCCCGTCCACACTGGGGGAGCGTCCCGGTGCTGGGGAGAGCCAGAGACACATGGGGGAGGGTGGACGGTGGAGGGCAGCGCCCACCCCTCTGACTCCCAGGCAGGGGCTATCTGCAGTTGACCTCTGGGACTGGCAAGAAGAGGCGGCCGAGCTGGGCAGCCAGGACCAGGACGGGGCTCTCCCTTCTCACTAGTTGGGCAGGTCACAGCAGCTCTGGGCCTGGGTGTGCCCACCCATAAGATGGGGTGGGCCATTTCTACCTCCGAGGGCTGCGGGCAGCTCCAGGAGGGCAGCCTGGCCCTGGCCCAGGAGACCTTCCTCCTGCGCAGGCTGGCACCGAGTGCTGGGCTCCTGGGGCCACGGGCCCTGCCTCCCACCCGCCTGCCCCGGAGCCAGGACCCAGGCCAGCCCAGGCGCCCAGAGCCTCCTCTCCTGCCCAGCAGGAGGAGCCAATGCTGTGCTGACTGGGAGGGTCGGGACCTGAGCTGTCTGGAAGGGCAGGAGGAGCAGGACCAGGCTGGTGTCACAGGCGTGGGGACAGGTTGCTGTCAGGACTCGGCTGTCCCCTGCCCCGTCCCCTTGGCTTCACCTGGCTGCACTGCAGGACAGCCCTGCTGCTTCTGCTGGGGGGCCACAGTGGCTCAGGCAGGGCTGCACTTGGGTTCGAGTCCTGCCCTCTGCCATGGCTGGGAACCTCAGCAAGACCCGTGGGACAGCCGTCCAGCCTGTGGTCAGCGCGGTGTAGCTGTTAGTTTTGCCATGATGTGCCGACCTCACGGGAAAAGTTAACCTAGCGGCCACCGCCAGCTGCCTCGGCCTCAGACCTCCACAGCCTCACCCTGGAGCTGGCCTCCCACGCGCAGATCAGGTGGGGGCAGAGGATTGTGGACGGGGTCCAGCTCAACTCAGCCCCTCGCAGGCTGGCTGGCTCTGGGAAGTCGTTTCTGGGCCTCGGTGGGTTCCCCCTGTGGCCTGGGCCGTGACAGTGCCCTTGGGGAGGGTTGAGGGCCAGAGACCCAGGCCCTGCACAGCTGAGGACTTGGGGTGCACAGGACTTGGGCTCTCGGGGAGAAGGTCAGCGACTCCAGGCGCCTGGACCTGGTTGGGCTATGCTCCTGGGCACCCTGGTGGGAAGCTGCGGGCTTCCTGCCCCTGGCACCTGCAGTGGAGCCTCGGGCTAGTGTCCCTGCTCAGAAGTGGACAGAGGCTGCACGCTGGCTACCGTCAGGCTGCAAGGTCATCTGAGCCCACTGTGGGTCTCGGGGGTAGGAGCAGCCCTGGGTGGGACACAGGTTCAGTGAGCAGGGCAGGAACCCGGGCACGGGAAGGACAGCCCTCAGCCCAGGCCTCTGCCGGGGGCTCCGCAGCCAGGGTGCAGGGCTGGGGACCTAACAGCCACCGAGCAAGCCAGGGATTACTGTGGGGGCCATGCCCCTGGTGGACAGGGTCTGTCTCCATCTCCTTGGCCCGCCCCCACCACCGTGTGGCAAGGAAGGGGGCTCTGAGAGGCCCATGGGACCGCCAGCCTGCCCAGAGCCAGTGGCCGGGGATCCTGACCCGAGGCCAGCTCTCAGCCCAGCCCCTGACCACCGCTCCGTCCCACCTACACCCCTCTGTGCCCCCAGACCTGAGGCTGGGGGTCCCCAGAGAAACACTCGTCTCCAGAGGCCCTCCTGGGGCTGCCAGTGGGGAGCTCCGCCTGAGCCCTCCGTCCAGGGCCGCTGCCGGGAGGCCCCCAGCAAGAGTGTGCTGTGTGAGGTGGTCCTGCGAGGGCCCCGTTCCCCCAGCATGACCAGGAGGCCGGGAGCGGGGGGCAGCCTCCCCAGGGAGCGGAGCCCGAGCTCAGCCCACCCCTTCCCTCCTCCACACGCCATCCAGCTGGGCTGGAAGGGGTGAGGGTCTGTGCTGGGGCAGCCCCAGAGCAGGGACACAGGGGCTCGCGATCTACTGCCCAGTGCCACTGGGTGCCACCCTCGCTGCCTCTGCTCCCCAGGTGCCTGCAGAGAGGTCCTTCACCCCCCACGGACCGGGCAGCTGAGGCTGGAGGCAGGCCACAGAGCAGGGACGTCAGACTCGCGTCCCGCCCACTGTACACAGCTGTCCCATGACCACAACTCCGGGCAGGTGGGACCTGGGAGGTTGGCCGTGGACCTCCTGTCTCCCAGCCTCAAGTCCACCTCTGGATTAAACGCCAGAGGACCCCCTTTTGCAGGCCCTTGAGCCCTAAAGAGGGGTGTTTTGGAGACAGCCGGGTGAAACCCTGGAGAACTCCCCACACCCGTCTGTCTCTGTGTGACCTTGGGCAGGGCACTACACGTCTCTGAGCCTGGCCCTCCCTGTGAGACGGCTTTCGCGGCCACCTCGTAGGGTCTTCATGAGAACAAAGTGGAGGGAAGGCCGGGGCAGCCCACCCTGCTGCCCTCCTCTTCTGCCCAAAGGGCGACCTTAACCCCCACTGCACAGGCACAGTTTCAGCGTCTGGAACGCTGCGGGCACACGGGCACGGTCGGGACATCAAGTGACATTAGGTGGCAATTTTCTGTGACGTGGTGCTTGGGCCCCCAGCACCACGGTCTCCCGGGAAGTCTGTCTGCTGGCAGCACAGCTGTTACCCGAAGCCATGTCCAGCCCCCCCGTGCGGGCAGCAGTGGGCCCCTGCTCCCTGTCCAGCCTCGGTTTCTCTGATGCTTCCGAGTGGCTCAGTTCTCAAGGCTCAAGTGTAGCCACCTCCGAGGAAGGACCTCGCAAACTCCAGACGGAGTGTCCCCAGCGGCCCAGGCCTGTGGCCCAGGCCAGCCTGGCATTTGAAGTGCTTGGCCCGGGCCCTACCCATCGCCTGCTGGCCGAGGGTGACCTGGCCGGGGACGGCTGGGAGGACGGCCTGCTCCTCTCGGCGGCCAGCCACGTTCGCCTTCTTTGGTTGTCACCAGGGACTGGCTGCCGGCCCTGCAGCCAGGATGGTGTTGATGGGTCCCCACAGCTGCGGCCACACATGTGCCCGGCCATCAGCCTGGGACAGGCGGGCGCGGGGGAGGGGAGCCTCCCAGCAGGAGGGAGGCCAGAGGCTGCAGCTGAGGGACAGCAGGTGCCGGGCGGCCTGGGTGGCCGCTGTTCACCGGCTGCTCCCACCCTGGCCTCTCCACGGGACCCGGCCAGCTGTGGGGCTCTGGGAACGTCCCCAGTGTCTCTGCAGAGGGGAGAGGTGGCGAGGGGAGGTCTGTGTGGTGCTGGGCACTCAGTGGTGGTCATGTCATTAGGTAGTCACCATCCACGGAGACGGCTGGCTCAGGCCCCCACACGCGTCTCTGTGGCCCTGGTGCCTGGGGTGGAGATGAGGGTGTGCCAAGGGAAGACGGTCACGGGACAAGGCGGCAGGCCTGGGCCCCCAGCTGGCTCACCCCGTTCCGGCCTGCGGCCTCCTGTCAGCAGGAGGTGGGCTGCGGGGAGGACACCCATCTTGCTGGCCCGGGGAGCCAGGCCACTGGTGCCTGAGCTGCAGTTCCAGGCCTCTCCCACCTGCCCGGCTGCTGGCCTTGCCAAGGTACTGGGGCCTGGGGCTCTTGCCCATCTGCCAGGCTCAGCCTGGCCTTCTTGGCCCCAGTGCCAGGGGCTGTCTGGGGCACATCAGAGGGTCAGGGCCACCTAGCCACTGGTCCAGCCTGGCCTTCGTCCTTCTGCCCTCTCCCCGTGTACGATCCTGAGCTTGTGGGACCTCAGGGAGCCCCATGTCCCCTGGGGGCCAGTCACGCTCAGGCTGGCCAGTCAAGCCCAAGCGCTGCGGCCCCGGGCCTGTGCCGTGACACACTTCAGGGTTGGCCCAGGGCATCCTGGGGTCAAGGCGTCCTCCCTTCACACTCCCCGGAAGGCCCCGGAACCTTCCAGCGCCTCACTGGGGCCTGTTGGGAATGCAGATTCCCGGGCCCTGGCCACGGATGGGGCTGGGGTGGGGGCTGGCGTCCATCTGGACACAGGTGCAGGGGACGCAGGTGGAGGCCACCTTGGCCCTGCCTTGGTGGGGGGCACCGACTCCGGGGTCTGCAGAAACGAGGCTGGGGGACAGGCAGCTGGCCCTGCCCCGTGTGGCTGGCCTGCCCCAGCTGGTTGATCCAAGCCCACCCTCCGGCCAACCCAGGGTCTAGGGTGGACCTCGGCCTCCTGTGAGAGCAGCTGAGCTCTGCGGAGTGGGTGGAGCCAGGGGCCCAGGTTGCTGGGCCCAGCCCAGCCTCGAGGGGCCTGGACGGGACACTCCTGCCCAGCCTGACTTGGCTTCTCTTTCTCCCTTTGCTGCCCAGTGGACAGGAAGGAGAAGGCCGCAGCGATGCCCGACTCCCCTGCGGAGGTGAAGAGCCAGCCTCGGTCCACACCCCCCAGCATGCCACCCCCGCCACCCGCTGCTTCTCAGGCTGCCACCCGGCCCCCCTCCTGCACGCCTCACACGTGTGAGTAACCCTAGCTCCACCTCTCCACCGCCAGGGAGGGGTGGGGGCAGCGGCGTTTGACATTCTGTGCTGGGCCCTGAGCAGAGGCCCGTGGTGGGGACCTTGAGGTCCCTGGCTGGGCACCTAAGCTTTGGAGGCTCCAGTCTACCCTGTGTGACTCTGGGCAAGTTACTTGACCTCTCTGACCTGGTTCCTACCTATAGAGCGGAGCAGCCACACACCCTGCCTCTGGGGCCTTGTGAGGGTACAGTGGGCTAGTAGGCACACTCCCAGAACACAGCTGGGCCAGGTGACCGCTGGACATGCCCAGGACAGGCCTCTCCAGGACCCGGAGCTCAGAGGAGGACATGGATGTCTCCAGGGTCACGCAGCAGGCTGCCTGGGCACCAGCCCCACAGGGCGTGAGGGGTGGCAAAGAGCAGGAGTCCCAGGGCCTCGGGGCAGGCCATGCGGGGCAGGCCATGCGGGACAGGCCACGCGGGGCAGCTGGCGGGGGCTGGGCAGGAGCCAGGCTCTGGTCCCAGGCCACTGCAGCCCCTTTCAGAGTTGAGACGCACAGATGCTGGGTCCTGCCCGGGGGGAAGGAGGGAGACCCCAGGCTTGGGCCCACGCGGGGGCTCAAAGCCATCTCTGTGGGTGAAGAGACCCCACACCTCCCTCCCGCATTCAGCCGCCAGAGGGCATCGTGGGGTGCCCAGCTCCACCCCAGCCCTTCCCGAGGGCCTGGCCCTCCCAGCGCTGGCCCCCGGCCCTCAGTCTGGTGGCCCCGGCCCCCACAGGCCGAGGACAGGAGCTTCCTCCTGGTGGCCTTCCTCTGCCAGGGCCTAGGCCTGGGCCACTCCGGCCCCTTCCTCCCTGGACCTGCCTCTGGGCCTGGGGCAAACTCCTGGAGATGGACGTGAGCCCGAGGCGCAGGGCGGGCGCTCTGGGCCGTCTGGTGACAGCCTGCTCCCAGGGGTGGCCTCCTGGGGACACTGGGACGTGCCAGTGCAGGGTGGGGACATCATGGCCCACCACGCTGTCCCTTCGACTGTCTCAGAAGGGCCCAGCCCCCCTGCCTTCAGGGTCCTGGGGGTCACCCTCCCTCTTCCGGAACAGTCCTCCCTCTGGGCTGCCCGTCTTTGTCCACCAAAGGGCCTCCGTCCAAGCTCTTCCTCAGGTAGAGAGGGGAGACTGGTGCTGCCCTGGGGACAGGAGGTGGCTCTGGGTGGCCCCTAAGCCACAGGCCCTGTGACTGGACCCAGCAGGAGGGAGAAGCAGCCGGTGGCAGCAGAGTCCTGGCCCCAGGCTCCCCTCCCCAGCCTGCCCTCCCTGGGACCAGATGTCCTGGCGGGGCCACACTCGGGATCTGTGGGACCCCCGGGTTCCTTCGGAGGCCTGTGCACAGAGGTGAGGCGGCAGGTGAGGGGGCTCAGTGCCCTGCCCTCGGTGCCAGGCCGGTCGGGCCCCGCCCGTGAGCAGGGCCACACAGCCGCTGCCTTCTCTGCCAGATTCGCCCCCGGCTGGCGGGAGCATCCCTCCAAGGCTCGGGATGGCGCGGTGACTCCGATCCGTTCCCAACCCATGTGACTCCCTGACAGCCGGAGGTCAGCTGTGCCCACGCACCTGGCCGGCCAGCCCTGGCGAGGCCTCTGCCGCCAGCCAGCTTCAAGAGCCGCGAGACTGACCTTGGGCTCCACCTTGAGGGCTGTGGCTTTCCTGGGCACAAGTTGGCCTTGGAGTCAGAGCCACAGTGTGGCTGGGAGGGTGGGCCGGAGGCTGGAGGCCCTGGAGGGCCTCCCCAGGACAGGAGCCCCGAGTGGGTCCCACTCCGCCTGTCCACGCGCCCTGGCTGGGCTCCTGCCTGCTCACGGGGCTCCCGCTGGTCTCCTGAAGCCCTGCCCGCTCACCGCCCATGGACAGTCACGTGTGCCCTTTCGCTGGATGCCCAGCCCAAAGGCTGCTCTACCCCGACCCCGTCACTGCGACACTCCTGGCCCCGGTGCCTCGAGGACAGTGCAGATGGTATCTTCAGACTCCTTCGAGGAAGAGGGCTTTTAAGAGTGAGGGTCCTAGTAGACCCCTGGACGGTCCTGCCTGAGTGTCCTTCGAGGCCACCCAGCCAACCCGGGTTCTGCAGAGGAGCCCAAGGGTGTGCCCCGGCCTGGCGATGACAGAGTCCAGTCCCCACAGTGCTGCCGGCAGGCGGGGGCCGGCTGAGCGCCCCTCCTGACTGCGTGTTCTTCTTATTTTGCTTACAGATGGAGAGGACGGACCTGCGACGTCACTGCCCCACGGCCGTTTTCATGGCTGCTTAAAGTGGTCTATGGTCTGCCTCTGTAAGTAAAATAACGAGACCCGCGGGCCTCCAGGAGGCCTTCACCCTGCACAGAGCCAGCCCGGGCAGGCCCCCTCCAGCCACCCGCTGCATCCTTAGAGAGGAGAGGGCAGGGCGGACGGTGGCCTGAGTCCCACGGTCACTGCTGTGCAGGAGCTGTGGCACCTGCAGCAGGGGCACGGCCACCGTGGGCCTCTTTCCCTGACAGCAGAGTAGCACTGGGAGGCACAGAGTGACCCTGGTCCATAGTGAGTCCAGCCGAGCCGCCTCCAGCTCCCGCCCCGACGCAGGGCCGCCTGGGCAGGGAGGCCACTGTGCCCGGCTCCTGACCGGGGGCTGAGGGCCCGGCGAGCCGTGCCTCATGCTTGGTGGTCGCTCGTGGATGACTCCAAGTGCCGGCCACACGGCCTCCGGGTGCCGGGACCCAGAGCGCTGTCCCACAGGGGCTGCAGCCCCTCTGCGGGTGCGCTGGCGCCTGGGCGGTGAGGAAGACTCAGATTGGCACCACGGCTGCCCGTGGTCCTGGTCCAGCAGTCACCGTGCTGCGCTTGGCCCTGGCTGCCCTCGTGGCTAGGGTTCTGCTGTGGACGGGATGGCGGAGCCCCCGCAGGACGGCAGGAGGCTGTTGGTGGGGTTCCTCCGTCCCAGCCTGACCCTGCCGCAGCCAGGAGGCAGCGGGAGCCGTGGGGGTGCCAGCATGTGCCCCCAGACCTCAGCCGGGGACACGTGTGCGGTCTAACTTAGTAACACACCTGTCGCGGGACGGGAGCACTTGTGCCGGGCTATTTTCGGCGTCTCTTAGCAAGCTGCCGAGACTGCCTCACAGCCCCGGGAGGGCGGACGGACGGACAGGCCAGGCGAGCAGGCCGGGGACGGGCGCCCAGGCAAGGCTGGTAAGCAGGCCTCGGGGAGGCCGGGCCAGGCCAGTGCTGCAGGCCGGGCCGGCGGCTTGGACAGTGGCAGGTCTCAGAAGCCGCCAGAAGCCCCAGAGACCTGGCACCCGCACATCAGCCGCCAGAAGCCAGCCCACTGCGATGGGAGGTCCGTGGAGACAGGTGTCCCCTGCGTGGCAGGGTGGCAGCGGTCCTCAGTCCTGACCAGGCTGTGTGTGTCGGCATTCGCCAGGGGCCGGCCGTGCCCACTGTGCAGCAGGGTCCCGGACGAGGCCCGGGAGGCTGGGGACCCAGGGCTGAGGGAGCTGGATCTGGTGGCCGCTGACCACCCGGGTAAGAGGGAGCTCTGACACTTGGCCCCTCGCTGACTGCTGCCGTGTGGCACTGGCACATCACTGGCCGGTCCCTCCTGAGCCGGAGGGGCTCTGAGGTCCTTTGACAGCGTTCCCCCGGCAAGCACTCAGGTGCGGGCCCAGCTGCTCAGAGCTGGGCTCAGAAGGACCCAGAGCCTGGGCGGCAGCAGGCTGGACGGGAGCCGCCGTGAGGAGAGTAGGCGCATGTGCATCCCGCTCCCCTGCCTGCAAGTGGTCTTCAAGGTCCTGCCGTGTGGGGCCCAGTGGTCAGCCAGCAGCCTACTCAATCCCAGCAGAGACAGCGGGCAGGGAGTGGCAGCTGGCCCCGCAGCCGTCGGGCCGCCCGGTGCTCTGCCCTGGAGCTCCACGGGAGAACCTGGGGCCAGTGCAGATGGAGGACTGAGCCAGGCCCGGGCTGACCAGCACCCACACCCGGACTTGGCTCCAGGCAGGCTTGCCCTCGAGGCCTGGGGCCTCCAAGGTCCTCCGTGGCCTCCCCTCCAGCAGCCCCGCAGCAGGCAACTGCCAGGCCCGGGGACGGGGGGTGAGGGATGGTGGAGCCAGGACCGAGGGGACAGCCACACTGACTGTGGCCTGGCCGTGGGAGCATCCTGCCGAGGACCCCGCTGCCTTGTGTCCATCCAGCCCTCTGGAAGGTGGGGCCTGTGTGGGCTGGGAGGCAGCGGGGCCACTGCAGGCCCCACCTGGGTGGGAGCATGCTTGCCCTGTCCAGGGTCCTCTGCATGGGGCGTCCAGCGGTGTCTGGGCAAGTCTCACCCAGTGGCCAGACCACAGGTCAGCAGAAGCGGCCTGTGTGGGCTCGGGAGCCCATGGGAGCAGGCTGCAGCCCCAGGATGGCCACGTGGGGTTGCGTCTGGGCAGGACGGAGGTGGGCAGAGAGGAGACTGGATCTGGCAAGGGCCGCTGCAGGGGAACCGAGGCCAGGAACAGAGGCAGGCCCTGCCTTCTAGCCGGCAAAATGGCAGAGGTCAGGAGAGGTCACCAGAGCCCAGGTCAGGACGGCAGGGCAGCTGCCTCTTCTAGGGGGACACACCAAGGCCCCACACCCACACAAGCAGACTCCAGTGTGCAGGCGGCTTGGCACTGCCCAGCTGAGCCCTGGGTCCCCGTCCTGAGGGGGCCTCCTGCTCCCCGTCCACCTGCCGCCCATCAGGCCTTGGCCCAGGTGGCAGTGAGGGCCGAGCCTCAGGGGAACTGGGCCTGAGGGAGCAGGTGGCCCTGAGCACAGCCTAGCACCTGGGGGACCGGGTGGGGCAGGGGCCTTCGGGAGGCCCAGGAGAGCCACAGCAGGGGTGTGGCTGGTGCACGCACCTGGGTGCCCGTGGCCTCGACCCCCCGGGACTCAGTGCAGCAGCCCCGGTGTCACCAGAACCCTAGGACATCCACTGATGGCAAGGCCACAGGCAGTCTTGTCTCAGTGGCCAGTGGTACTGGCCCCACACCAGGAGCCTCTGTGTGGCCCTGTCCCATTCTCGGCCACCCTGGGGGGACAGTGCCGCCAGGGCTGATTCCTACTAGTTAAGGCTGCAAACTAGTTTCCAGACCCAATTGGTCACTTACCACTGGGCGACGGCCTTGTTCAGGCAGGGCACCTGAGAAGCAACTGTGAGGACACGGCGTGGGCTGTGGTGGTGGGAGTGGGCTGTGGTGGTCGGAGTGGGCTGTGGCAGGTCCTTCTCGCTCCTGGAGGCCCTCCGCCCCTGGGCAAGGAGCGAGCCAGTGACCGCAGGGTGGCGACGCTCCTGCTGCCCGTGGTGGGCACCCAGGCCGCCATGGGCACACATCCCTACTGGCTGAAGGCCTGGCCCCACGACCGCTGTCCACACCTGTAAGGGGTGCGAGCAGCCTGCAGGTGGCCGTGAGGCTGGACGCCTCGTGCCAGGGCTCTGCTGCTGTCGCCAGCCTCGTCACCACTTCCAGGTGTCACAGCCTGCCTGGCCTCACCCCCTTCCCCCACAGTGATGAACGGCAGTAGCCACTCGCCCACGGCCATCCACGGCAGCCCGTCGACGCCCAACGGCTTCAGCAATGGCCCGGCCACCTCGTCCACGGCCTCCCTGTCCACGCAGCACCTGCCCCCGGCCTGCGGGGCCCGGCAACTCAGCAAGCTCAAGCGGTTCCTCACCACCTTGCAGCAGTTCGGCAGCGACATCTCCCCGGAGATCGGGGACCGCGTGCGCACGCTGGTGCTGGGGCTGGTGGTGAGTGGCTGGGCGCCCGGGAGGGCGATGGTGTCCCGGGGCTGCCCTCGCTGGGCGTGGCCGGACGGCGGCTCAGGGCGGCCGCGCTCAGCCAGGCGCGTCCCCCACAGAACTCGACGCTGACCATCGAGGAGTTCCACGCCAAGCTCCAGGAGGCCACCAACTTCCCCCTGCGGCCCTTCGTCATCCCCTTCCTGAAGGTGAGACGGACCTGCCACCCGCTGCCCAGCCCGCGAGGCCACCCTGGGGGACAGAGCTGCCAGGGCTGATTTCTGCTAGTTAAGGCTGCAAACTAGTTTCCAGACCCAACTGGTCACTTATCAAACTGGCCCTCGGAGACAGAGCTCCTGCTTGGCCAGTCCCCGGCACAGCACCTGGCCACCATCAGCTGTGGCTGGAGAGCGTGGAGATGAACAGCAGGAAAGGCCTGGAAGTCCCAGGGGAGGGGCCGTAGGCAGCAGAGTCCTCCAGGTGGAAGAACGGAATGGGCAACGGCCCTGGAGCAGGGCCAGTGTCCAGGAACAGGGGAGGTGGGACATGGAGAGATCAGGGAAGCCGTGACATGTGGCGGGCAGCTGGGCAGCGGGAGAGCTGTCAGGGAAGTGCAGAAGCCCAGCACGGGGGCCTGTCCACTGGCGCGGGGGCAGCTTGGGCCCCAGCCCCGCCCCATGGAGTCACACGGTGCTAGTTGTAAAGGTGCTGGTGGTCCATGTGCACCAGGATGCGGACAGCAGGCTGGGGACTGGGACCAGGGGTCACTGCGGCCCCTGCGGGTCAGTGCTTCCCCGAGGCTCCCCGTGTGGCCCCGCAGCCTTCCTGCCGAGCCCGGTGATCAGTACTCTGACGAGCCGCCTGGCCCCACCGTGGCCCCTGGGCCCCTCGCTCTGCCCTCGGCTTCTGTGGCGAGAAAGGCACCCCCAGGCCTGGGAGGCAGGAGGGACGCCCCTCCCTGTGCACGTGCGGCCTGGCCGGGCAGCAGTGCTGGGGACTCTGCTTCCCTGAGGTGGGGGTGACGTCCAGCTCGTCACTGACGCCCACGCCCCTGAGAGGGAGGCACACCCCCCCCGCTCCCCATTAGCAAAGACGACCGAGGCCCGAGGCCCCCAGGACAGGGAGCCACACTCGAGCCTGGCCTGTCCAGCCCCTCGTCCCCACAGCCACCACGGGGCTTCTCTGGCAGCCCCTGCTCTCCAGGGACACCGTCCACCCACATCCACTCCCTCCCTAGGCGCCCACACCCTGCTGGGCTGGAGCAGCTGGCACCATCTGGCCATCACGGGGATCCCTGGACCCCCCGTTCCCCGACTGCTCACTCCACCATCCCCTGTGGGACGTCAGGTCCAACCTTGGTGGCCCATGCCCCACAGTGTCCCTGCCCTGTTTACCCTGGGTGCAGGGCAGAGCGTCCGGCGTCCTCACTACCCACCAGGCATGCAGCCTGCCCCCAGCCCAGTCAGTGCCAGCGTCCACCCAGCCACGCCAGCAGGGTACCCCAGCAGGGGCAGGCAGCACTGGCCCAGCACTGCCCCCAGGAGGGACCCTGGGCCTCAGTTTCCCCTCTGGGCTCTCGGTGTCGTGAGGGCCAGGCAGCCCACCCCAGGTCCCTGCCTACCAACTGTCCCGAAGCCACCCAACCCCAGGGAGCTCCTGAGGGAGGCCGGAGCCTCCAGGGCCTGCTGACCAGGCTCAGCAGAGCCCTGACCCGTGGTCCCCCTTGGGAGCAGCCCTTGTCCCCACTGCTTGTGACCAGAGCTCGGTGGGAGTCTGGCCTGCTGAGGCTGGACCCGGAACCCAGCTGCCCCTCAGGTTGGGCTCTGTCTGAAGTGGGCCATGGGCAGCTGCAGAGCCTTCCTCAACTCTCACGGCCCCACCGTCCTGCCCAGTGGTACTCATGCTGCCCGGGAGGCACCCGTCTGGGTCCTGCCTGGAGCCACGGGCTCCTCTGGGTGATAGGAAGGACGAAGCTGACGGACCAGGGCTTTCAGGAAACTGACACATGGGGAATTGTGCAGCCACGGTTGGCAGGTGAGGCAGAAATCAGAGAGGTTAAGTGACTACCCAAGACCACACAGCCCCTCAGTGGCTGAGCCGGGGGCCGTCCTCAGAGCACACCCTCAGTCCTCAGCAGAGACAGAGACGGGGTCGGGGGCTCTCCGATGCTCAGGGTCCCTCCCTTCGGGTCACCTTTGCGGGGGTGAGGAGGGCGGCCTGGACTTCCTGTAGCATCAGACACCAGGGTGTTGTGACCAGCTCGGGTCGGCCAGCCTCAGAGTGATGTCTCCCTCAAGTCCTGGGCTCCTGGGGACAGGTGGGGACACTGCCCCCCACGGGGCTGGGCCAGCGGTGGCCTTATCCCGCCGCCCAGAGCTGTTGTGCATCAGACCCTCCAGCTTTTCGGGACCCTCCCCCGTGTGGCCAGATGGGGGCTTTCCAGAGGCCAGAGACCTGCCCCCCAGCCTCCACCCAAGGCCGCTGCTGGCTGGCCCCACCTGGCCCGCAATCCAGATGTCCCCAACCCTAACAGTGACCACAGTACTCCTGCCTCTCCCACCCTGTACGCTGGCCAAGGGGAGGCCACGGGAGGGGGACATGGGCTTCTTGGCTCTCCTGGACGGACCCAGGTCCCAGCTCACAACTCTGACATGCTCGGCAGGTGGTGCTGGCCCCGTCCAGCTATGCAAATACAGAACAGGCCCAGCAGCTAATGCAGCTGGACAAGGTGCGCCACTGCTGGGCGGCCGTGGACACGCGCAGGGGGCTGGAGGCTCCGTGCGCAGGAGAAAGCTGGGAGCGTATTTATTTACAAGCACTCAGAGTGGCCGGCTCTCCCAAGCGGCCTGCCGCTGGGCCCCGTCCAGCCTGTGGTAGGGCGCAGCCTGCCCGCCCCACCCCTAGTGGCTCGGGGAGCCTGGGAAGCACGGAGGAGCCCGGCCAGGGCCCAGCAGCGCTCTCCTGGAGCCCGGAGCCCGGAGGCGCACGGTGTCTGGCAAAGAATGTTAGAAGTGGTTCTGCCAAGTCCTGTTCCCTGCTTGGTGGCCGCAATGTCACTGATGGCAGGGGGATCACAGGACAGGGGCCAGCGCCAGGTGCCCAGAGCTTTGCGGTGGCAGGAAGCACACTGGTGGCCGGTCCCAGCACCAGTCTTTGTTTCAGGCTGAGCCTGGAACTCGAGAGGGCAGGAGCTGCGGGCTGCCCACCAGCGTAGTGGGGCCAGTGGAGACCCCGGGCACCCCCCACTTGGGCTCTGCTCTCAACCCCCCTTTACAGTTGCTGTGTGTGCTGGGCTGGTGGCTCCCAGTCTCTGAGCCTTGAATCTCCCCTCAGTGCTGGGGATGGGGTGGTGACCGCTAAGATGGGGTGCAGGCACCCTCCCTCTGCCTCCAGATGTCCCCAGGGGGGGAGGTGACAGGAGAAAGCTTTGCCTGGGCGTCCAGGATCTGGGCTGGGGTCTCAGGCACCACCTGTCACTGTGTGCCCCGGGCAGGACCTGCCCGCTGTCCTCCTCCCCTCCCTGGGCAGTCCCCGAGCCCAGCGGGCGCCGGGCTCTGCGCAGCCGGCCAAGCCGCTCCCGCCCGCCCCCCAGGCGAACCTGCCTCTGCTGCAGCGGGAGCTCCTGCACTGTGCCCGCCTGGCCAAGCAGACGCCCGCCCAGTACCTGGCCCAGCACGAGCAGCTGCTGCTGGGCACCAGCGCCCCCTCCCCCGTGGACTCCTCCGAGCCCCTGCTGGAGGTCAACGAGAACGGCAAGAGGAGGACGCCCGACAGGTACCGCGGCTCCGGGCCAGGAGGGGGCACAGGGCCCTCCTGCCTCGGGCCCTGCCTGGCCAGCAGCCCCCGCCGCAGGCTCCACCGAGGCGGGCGGGCAGCTCACCTGCCCTGCTAGCAACCTGCCCTGCCGGGCTGGACCCAGATGCCCCTGGGAGCCCCAGGAGGACGTCTGTCCCCAGATATTTCCTGGCACTCTCCCTTGGTGCCAAATGTATAGCCCGAGGGGACCGGATCCAGGCGGCTGGGCTGGGCCCCCTCCGCTGGCCTCCAGAGGCACATGTCCACGTTCCTGGGGGCTGCTGGTCACTGGGCCTTCCTGTCTGCCCAGTCCCCTGACAGGGGGTTGGGCTTCTGGTTTGGGGAGCCCGGGGGCCGCCCACCAGGGGAGAAGGAGGTACCACTTGACTCCCTTGCACCTCCTTCCTCTCTGACCCCCCGTCCCTGCGCACTGACGGGACCTCCATCCTTGGCTGGCGGCCCATAACACTGCCCTCCACCTGCTCTTCTGGCCAGGACCAAAGAGAACGGGTCAGACCGTGACTCCCTGCACCCTGACCACCTCAGCAAACGGCCGTGCACCCTGAGCCCTGCCCAGCGCTACAGCCCCAGCAACGGGCTGCCCCACCCCACCCCACCCCCGCCCCAGCACTTCCGCCTGGAGGACATGGCCATGGCCCACCACTTCCGCGACTCCTACCGCCACCCCGACACCCGAGAGCGCCACCGGCAGCTGGGTGAGCAGCGTGCTGGGGCTGGTCGGGTGCTTGAGCAGGCTGCGAGTGCCCAAGTACACGCTGTACCTACCACCACCTGCACCTGGGCGTGGCCGGGTCCAGGGAGCAGTGGGTAGGGGGACGGCCGGCCACACCCCGGGGGGCCAGGAGTGCGTCTTTCCTCCTACTGCCTTGGAGGGCAGCTTGCACCCTGGAGGCCCAGGAGGGCCTCATGCACCCATGGGGACCCCACTGGGGCTGCAAGGTCACCACCCTGAGGGCCTGGCACCCATCTAGGCTGGGCAGCCTCTGACCAGGAGCTGCCCAGTTCTTGACCCCATCGGTGATTCCCCACAGCGCACCCTCGGGCACGCAGCCTCGCTGGGCCTCAGGTCCTCCTCTGCCACTCGGGCTGAGCAGGAGTCACGGGAGGACCGGGGCATTACCGCAGGCCCAGGCAGCGTGTGCTCTGAGGCCCAGCGGGTGACAGGGACAGCAGCTGGCATGGACCACACCCTACGGGGCTGGCGTCCTCTCCTGCACACCCACACCACAGACAGGAGACCGAGGCCCAGAGAGCGCAGGTGACACGGCCGAGGTCTCGTGGCCACACCTGCCTGGCCTCGCTCCGCACACGGCCCCTGTGTGTGCTGGTGAAGGAGCCCAGGAGCAGCCGGCCCAGGGTCCCAGGGCCCGGACAGTCCCAGATAGGGCCCAGGAAGCCCCTCCTGTAGGAGGCTGACTCCCACCCCACCCTGCAGGCATGCGGGGCCTGGGCCCAGGCAGCAGGTGACGGCTCCTGGCTCTCTGTGGCGGGTCAGGCAGGTGCTGATTCCCACCGGCTTCTGCTAATGCAAAAATAAACTCCAGCTGCTGCAGAGAGCTCAGCCACTGTTTTGGTTGGGGTCTGGCACGGGCCCCAGCTCTGCCGGCGGCCAGGAGCCTGGTGGAGAGCAAGCTCCAGCCGCCACCTCCCAAGCCCTTCTGTAATTTGAGGGAGGCCTTTGGGATCCAGTGACCTAGGAGATCTTTAGGGACCAAAGGTGGCCCCAAAAGAGGCCTCGGAAGCATAGACTGACTCTGGGCCACGCGGCACAGACAGGGACGTGATAGGGCAGGATTGGAGGCATTTCACAGGAGGACCAGATGCTGGACCTCCCTGTGTCTTAGAGACTCAGCACCTGCCTCCATCGCCCCTGCCGCCTCACTGGCCAGGACTGAGGGCTCACTGCAGCTGGCCAACCCTGGGCCATACCTGCCGCCTCCCCTCCCTGACTTGTGTCTGGGCCAACACAGCCCCTTGACCAGCCTCCAAGGATGACCGGCCTCCAGGGCTAAGCATGGGCAAGGGCTGAGGCATGTGACACGCAGCCCTGCGCCACCCAGTGGCCCACAGGACCCCCGCTTCCCAGCCTGCTTCCCAGGCATATGTCTCTGAAGTCTCTTCTCACCCCAGGAGGTAGGCAGGGTGGACTGACTGCGGCGTGGGCAGCCAGATGAGGACCCAGGTCCCTCGGGGAATGGGCTTCTCAGCCCCACCACCTGCTGCAGAGCTGGCTGGGACATCTGGGCTGGCTCATCCATGCCCCAGTGGACAGGACTGAGCACCAGGCCAGAGCTCAGCCCTGGGCACACGCAGCCTGCGGGGAGGACCTAGAGTAGACAGTCACCTTACCTAATACCACAAGGCACTTGGGACAGGAATTCTGGGTACACTGCAGAGGGCCGTGACCTGGCTTTGGGGAATGCACAGGAGTGCAGACCACTGTGAGAGGAGGCCACAGCACACTCTCAGGGCCAGCCGCAGGCCCTTCACAGTCAGGTCTGGAGAAGCTGTGGGTCCAGGGCGGGCAGCAAGGAGGCAGAGGGGGAGTGGACACAGCTAGGCCAGGGCCAGGAACAGATTTGTCTCCTCTTCCCAATTGTTGAGCTGTTTCCTCACCAATGGGGGTTGGGGCACTGGGGGGTCAGTGTGCAAAGGATCGGGGTCCAGGGCTCCCGGTTCCACTTGGGCACAGCCCATGGGAGGGGCCGAGAGCAGGGCCGGTGCGGTTGGGGGGGGGGGATGGGTGTCCTCGGAGGAGCAGGGTGGCTTTAGGGGCAGGGGCGGGGCTGGGAGAGGGGCGGGGCTTGGTGGAGTGGGGGGGGGTGGGCGGGGCCTGAGCTGGCGCTTGCCCTCCCGCAGGGGCGCCCGGCCCGCGGCAGGAGGAAGTGATTGACCACAGGCTCACGGAGCGCGAGTGGGCCGAGGAGTGGAAGCACCTCAACAACGTGAGTGCCCAGCGGGCTGTGGGGCCGGTGGGGGCAGCTGCGCTGAGCGTGGCTCCGCTGGGCCCAGCGCCCTGCCTGGGCCCACCCTGCCCTTCTGGCCACCTTCATGTGTGCCCTGGTGGGCTGCAGCCGGCCAGGCACTGTTGGAGGAACAGGGAGCCCTCCCGCCACTTCCTGCCCAGCTCTCCAGGGCCTCCTGAACCTTGCAGGACGTTGGGGAAAGTCCTGTGGGGCCTCCTGGTGGTGGGAAGTGGCCCAGGGGTCCTGCTCCTCAGACCACCTGTGGGCCCTGAGACTGTCCCCTCCCCCGTGCCTGGCCTGAGAAGGAAAGGCAGTCCCGAGGCAAGCATCCAGTCCCCACTCCCATGCAGCCTGATGCCCATGGTAATGAGGACCCCCGCCTAGGGCCAGCCCCAGCCCGCCCTGCCCAGCCGCTCTGCTCCACGGAGTCGGGTCTCCACCAGCCAACCCTGCAGGGCAGGACGTGTCTGGCTGCCCCCAGGCTCCAAGATGCTGAAGCCCGCCCTGTCCACCCAGCTCCTGAACTGCATCATGGACATGGTGGAGAAGACACGGCGGTCACTCACGGTGCTGCGCAGGTGCCAGGAGGCCGACCGGGAGGAGCTCCACCACTGGATTCGGCGCTTCAGTGACACGGAGGATGTGAAAAAGGGCCCCACACCCGCTGCCACCCGCCCCCTCAACAGCTCCGCCAGCCCCGAGGCGTCTCAGCCAGGTGTGCACTGAGGAGGACCGGGCTGGCCTGGGGGACAGGCCAGGATAAAACAGTCTCCCTGGAAAGGAGGTGCCTTCTCCGCTTTGCACAAAGACGCCACCGGCTCTGTGGGGAGACTGGGACCCCCAGGGGACTCTGCAAAACCACGAAGGGCCCAGGATGTGCCCAGCCCCCAGCCTGAACCCAGGTCCACCTTCCTGCCCCCCATGCCAGGGCAGGGTCTCCACCTCTGGGCACCTGGGGATCCCTTGCCAGTGAAAAGCACTTCCTGGGGCCTGGGCAGTGTGAAGGAGGAGCTGACCTCAGGCCGCATCTTTTTCAGATGTCCACCGGGAGTTCATACCTCGGACCCTCTCTGGCTACATGCCAGAGGAGATCTGGAGGAGAGCCGGTGAGTATAGATGCAGGACAGACCCCGGGACAGCTGTGGGAGCCCCTCACAGGCCCGGCAGTGAGGGGTGCCCAAAGGCACCTAGGGTCTCAGCTGGGCTTCCCCAGCGAAGCCCAGGGACTCTGCACATCCTGCTGTGCACACGCTCAGATGTTGTGCGATACAGCACTCAGAGTCCACGCAGCCTGCTGGGCACCGTGTTGAGCAGGGGAGGATGTGGGAACATCCGCTGGCACAGCGGGAAACAGCCCAGCACGATCTGAGGGTGGCGAGAGAGACCCGTGCCTGCTGGGCAGCAGTGGTTCCCAGGAGATGGGAGCAGGCGGGATTCAGTGTGAAACACGAGGAAGACGGGATCCTCGGGTCTTGAAGGCACAGAGGAGGGAGGGCCCCCGCCAAGAGTCGGAGATGAGGGGTGGGCTGTGGCCAGGGACCTGGCTTGGACACCCCCTGCCTAGTAGGAGGCTGTGGCTCTTGGTTGGCTTGGCCCAGCCCCGTCACCTCAGTTGTCCACCGGGCAGGGCTTGGTGAGCGCCTTGCTGAGGTCCATGTGGAGCTGTGTGGTGATGAGGTCCTCATGTCACTCAGACCAGGGCTCAGGCCCTGCCAGCAGCCAGCAATCCCCACGTAGAGGCTGGGGTGGGAGGTTCGCGGTGCCTGGCTACCAGAGGAGGGAACACCACTGGTCCCACCCTGACCCCACGGGACACTCTCAGCAGCCCCGCTCACACCACGCTGCAGGGACAGCAGGCCTCGGGGAAACTGAGGCAGGCCTCAGCCCCTGGGGTGTTTAGCAGGCGCTTGCGGAGGGCAGGAGTGTCACCACGGAACTGAATGGCACAAGTCACCAGTGGACTCTGGACGTGGGCCGCAGCCTCAGCCCTGTGCCGCAGCTCCACCGTAGGGCCAGGCAGCCGGCGTAGGTTCCAGGTGGCCTGAGGTCTCTGCTGGAGAGGGGCCTGGGCCAGTGTGGTGTGTGGGTTCCCCGTGGGCCTGGCCCTCACACACCAGCGTGAAGACCACTACAGGTGGAGTGGTGGTCAGAGCTCAACCCGCCCCGCGGTCCCTCAGGCCCCTGCCCGTACACACGTGTTAGGTCACACACTTGTGCCCGTGTGTGCGTGTACGTGGCCCTGGCTTCCGTTGTGGGGGAGGCCCGGAGCCCTGTTAACCCCAGCCTGGCCTCCGTGTCCTGCAGAAGAGGCTGTGAACGAGGTGAAGCGCCAGGCCATGTCGGAGCTACAGAGGGCCGTGTCGGACGCGGAGCGCAAAGCCCACGAGCTCATCAGCACAGAGCGCGCCAAGATGGAGCGAGCCCTAGCCGAGGCCAAGCGGCAGGCCTCCGAGGACGCCCTCACCGTGGTCAACCAGCAGGAGGACTCCAGCGAGGTAGGGCCACTGGCCGCTCCTAGGCCCCGCACTGGGTCTCTGGGTCCACTGGGGTTGACGGTGAGACTTGGGGTGGGCCAAGTGTGGCTGGAACCCAACAGCTCTGTAACCCAGGTCCCCATCCAGTGGCCATCCCAGGTGGCTGCAGTAGGCACACAGCCTGCTGCCCACACAGCCTGGTGAGGTGCCCTGAGGCCCTCTTCATCATGCAGATACAGAAACTCGTCCAAGGGTAGGTGGCCGGCTAAGGCCCTGGCCTGTGAGGGGCCATTGTCTGACCCTGGGTCGCTGACACCAGAGCGTAGGTTCTTCTCTGAGCTGTGAAAGCAGAAGGTTTGAGGAGACCTGTGGGCACCAGGGGCTACGTGAGCAGGAAGGCCAGAGGGTCCTGTGCACCTGGATGACCACGTGCTGGGCACAGTCTGCGGCCCATTTCCTCCTTGCCCAAGAACTTGGTCAACAGAACATCAGGGAGAGGAACAGCCCTCTCCAGGGGGCCCTGGGGATGCCCTTTGTTGAAGGACAGACCCCCAGACCTGCCTGGGCTTGTGCTGGGCGAGGCGGGGGGTCAGAGGGGACATGGCGTAGAAGCAGGTGAGACAGAGAGCGAAGCCCTCACAGAGGTGTCCTGGGGAGAACCACGTGGGCAGCGTGTGGCCCTTCAGGGGCTCCTTGGTCCAGTGGGTACAGCAGACCTGCAGGGAGTCAGTGGGGGCCGTGCAGCCATCTGGTGGAAGGCAGCGTGGCCAGAGCCATGTGAGCTGGGACCGCAGGCGGTGGTGTGGCCCCAGAGGCTGTGGAGGCCAGCGGCAGAGTGGACGTTGGCCTCCAGGCAGTTCCCTCCTGTCTCACAGCAGGCAGGGGGAACACGCCACCCTCCCCGGCCAGCCTGAGCACCGTGGATGGCCGCACCGGGCGGGAGCTGGGCAGCGGGTCTGGCCAGGCTGACTGTGCCCTCTGCCCCTCCCACCCAGAGCTGCTGGAACTGCGGGCGCAAGGCCAGCGAGACATGCAGCGGCTGCAACGTGGCGCGCTACTGCGGGTCTTTCTGCCAGCACAGGGACTGGGAGAAGCACCACCATGTGTGCGGCCAGGGCCTGCAGGGACCCGCGGCCGCTGTGGCCGACCCACTGCCCGCGCAGCCCAGCACCACGGCCAGCCCCAGCGAGGCCGGCTCTGCCGGGCCCTCCCGCTCCGGCTCTCCGGGCCCGCCCGGCCCCCTGGACACCGCAGTGCCCCGCTGACCCCTCCCAGGCCCGGCCAGCACCTGGACCCCATGCCCCGCCCACCGGCCGGCTCACTGGAGGCCGCGCCCACCACCCACCTGGCCCCACAGGGCATCTGGTTGGAGTCACTGCTGCTACTGCTTGTCTCCAAAAGAAAACAGGACCGAGAAAGTCCACCCGCCAGCCTCGCAGCCCCGGGCAGCTCGGCCGCGGCCCACGACCTCGCCTCCACCACCGACCCACGCCGCAGCACCCGCGGGAGTGGCCGCACGTCCCTCCGCAGGCGGCCGTCTTCACGGTCCACCGCCTTCTCTACACTGGAAGTCTCACGGGGCTGGCGTTTCCAGCAAAGAATTTTGAGGGGTTTTGTCGGCAAAAGAGCTACTCAGAAAGGGACAAGGAAGGTGGGGGTCCCCCTCCTTGTTAAAAAGGGAATAAAACTGTGATTTTGTAGCCCCAGACCTGGACTCCGTGCACTCGGCCTCCCTGCGGCCGACAGGTGCCCAGGATTGGTGGGAGTCCAGCGTCCACTCGAGAAGTGTTTTCAGTTTCAGGTTTTTTTCTTCCTTTAATGTCAAACTCTTTGGCTTTAAGTAAAAATCCAAAAAGTCTTTTAAAAAGGCGAAGGAAGCAGACCCGCTAACTACCTTGCCAGCTAGCCAGCCAAGGATACCGCACTCACCTCGCTGCAGAGGAGCCCAGAAGGCACCACGTCCAAACCCAGCGTCTGCCACTGCCACAGCGCTGGCTCCGTCCTCTTGGGCTCGTTGGGGTGCTGGTCTCTGGTTTCAGTCTTGGTTTTGTTTGGAGGTCTTGGGACAGTGGGATCTGGCACGCCCTGGGGTCTTCTTGAGCTGGCGGCCCTGGGCAGGCATGCTGAGCCGGAGCCCGTGACCTGTGTGCTCCGCCCTGCGCTGTCATCCCCAGGGGCAAGCAGGACACCGCTCTGTCCCCACGCCTCTGTCACACTTCACATTTCATTTTCCACCCGTGAGCAGAAAGTGCTAGAGTGTTCTCCCCAGAGAGAGAGAACCCCGAAACAACGCTGTGTCGATCTTTTGGGTTGACTCTTGACTGCGTTTCAAAGCAAGAGGAGATACTGCTCCTGAGAACCCGCTCTGGTCTCCTCCTCTACCTCCGCTCCCGCCCGTCCCACCTCCATGGAGCCCCAACGCCACCGCCCGTGGCTCCCTGCAGCTACTCTTTCTCCCAAACTTTTGCAGAAATAAAAAAAAAGCCCCCTGCCCTGCCCTCCCTGAGACTCAGATATACATAGCCCTGAGTTCCACCCTCGTTCTGGGCACCCTGGCCATCCCAGCCCTTGCCTGCCCTCCACCCCATGGTGTCCACCACTCAAGGAGGAAAGGAAGGACGGCCAGTCCCTGCCACGCTGAGTGGGAGGGCAGAGCCAACTACTACCCACACTATTGTGCATCGCTGTGAAAAGCGCCAAGGACAAGTGCAATACGCGGTGGCCAGCCTCTGACCGCGTCCAGGGGCCCTACCTGAAGCACAGTGCGCATGAATGTGAATGTACTTGGTTTTCGCAGAGGTCCAAAAATGGTGTCTGCGATGGTGGTGATGAGAAGAGAGGTTTGCCAAATAAAGAATTGAGAGAAACCTGGGAAGCACATGGCTTAGGACCGGGTTCTCGGGTCCTGCACGCGGCCCTGGGGAGCGCGGTTGCGGCGCGGGTTCCCGGCTGTCATGGAGTCTGCCCTGAGTTAGGAGACGATCCCAGCCAGGGCCTGCAGAACCCAGCCTGGCACAGCCGCCTGGCTCCTGTGTCCTCCGGAAGGTTCCGGGCCCTTGCCCTGGGAAAGGATTGCTTTCTGTGGGATTCAGAGAGCCAGGGCCTGGGTCTGCTTCCATGGCAGGGCACGCAGCCTGGTCTCGCATCCAGCCTCGGCTCAGGCACAGAGGAGGTGCCCATGTCCATGCCCACAGAGGGCCCTGCCTCCCCGGGGGGCACCTCCCTCCCCACCTATGCCCCTAGTGCTGCGTCTTGCTGGTGCCCGGCCAGCAGCCCACTGCCCAAAAGGCCGAAGCTCGGTGGGGGGACGCCATGTTCCGGGAGGAAGAGGGGCTTGCTGGCTGGCGAGGTGGGCTCTGGGTGAGGAGCACCAGCGCAGCCCTCCTGGGTCCCGTGTCCCTGGGCCAGGACTGGGCAGCTCTGGGGCAGGGCAGCAGACCCAGGCGGTGTGGGTGAGCGCTCACCTGCGGTTTTACCTTGCTCTGTCTGTAAGCACCTCCTGCTCCCGGGACCAGCGGGACAGAGAGGTGGGGCCAGCTGCTGCACCCAGCCAGACCAGCCTCCAGGGGCCAGCTGGGAAGAGCTGCCCCTCAGGCCGACTGTTAAATGCCACTTGCCCAAAGCAAGTCCTGCGTGTGTAAGGAGCCTGACCAGGGACCCAGAAACCAAGACCAAGCGCAGGTGGCGGTGCTGTGCTGCGGGGCTCCCGAGCCACCTGAAGTCGGGGAGCGGTGAGGAAGGCAGGGCCCCTGGGGCCAGTATTACTGGGGCCACTGTGTTCAGGATCCACTGTGTTCAGGATCCACCCAGCCAAAGACCCCGCAGCAGAACCAAGCACAGAGCGGTGGCCAAGGGAACAGGGCACTTATGTGTCCCTTGCCTCATGGGTGACAATGAACACCGTGCGCCCAACCAGGATGGCAGCTTCACCTCCTGTGCCAGGGCCAAAGCTCGCAGGGGAGACCATCACAGCAGACAGGTGGCGCCAGAGATCCCGGCCTGAGGCCCGGCCAGGGACAGGCAGACGGGGGTCAGAGGCTGCCCCTGCCCTTCTAGAAAGAGACCTTGGTGTGCTTCCCTTGCCTCTCCCGCCCTCATCTCCTTGCCCTGCCCAGGACCCTGGCTGCGTCCCGTGGGCCTCCCCATTCCTTGCGTGGCCATGGTGGTGGGTGGGACAGGCTGGACCACACCCCAGCCCCACTGCCTGCCAGGGCTGTGCAGGGCAAGGAGTGGGCCCCCCATTAGTCCCCACGTCCATCAGCACTGTCCCTGAGCTCAGGGACAGCTGGGGCTGGAGGGCAGGGGGTCCACCCAAGCCACAGTGGACAGGGACTAGATTGGGCCCCAGATTTCCCTGGTGTGAGCTTTTCCAAATGGACCCTCAGGCTGACACCACAGCTGTGTTTCTGGCCTCATCTGTCCCTGCTCTGCCCACTGCCCAGCCCAGATGCGGCCACTGACGCACTCCTCATCTTGTCTCTCTGGTCCACTCGGTCACCTGCCTGTCCACCCATCACTGCCCACCTGTCCATCCATCTACACAACCATCTGTCCACCCTCCTCTGTCCATCCAACCTTTTACCCCTATGTCCATCTGTCCATCCACCCTCCTGTCCACCACCCATCTGTTCATCTATCCACATACCCTCCTCTCTCCACCCACCCGCTCCTGCCCATCCCTGTCCCTCCTATGCTTTGCCCCTCTCTGTCCGTCTGCCCATCCTCTACCCCACCTTGGCCCCCTCCACCCACTCTGGTCCTGGTGCCCATGGCCTTGCACACCCCATACCTGTCCTGTGTCCTGTAGTCCCCCAGGCAGAGGGCCCTCCACTGCATCCAGAGCAGTGTCCCCACTTCCTCAGTGTCCCAGAGCCCAGGGACTCTGTGGATCCTCCTGTCCTGGGCCCTCAGGCTGCCCCGAGGGACGCTGCCTGTGAGCACAGCCCCCGTGCCCCGCCTGCCATCTTGTCACTGCAGGGGCAGGTGAGCATCTGCTGCAGGGGGGTGGGCAGCCTGGGCCGAGGTTCGGTGGTCACCCTGACCCACCCGGGCCTGCTGGCAGAGTGTGGCAGGGCGCGGGGCACGTGTTGGGAGTTGGTGCCCAGTCTCGCTGGGCTGGGCGCCAGCCGTCAGGGTAAGCACATTGCCCCACGAGGCCTCACCGCTGGCTGGGCGCCCTTTCCCTCCTCTCTTCAGGGCCAGTGCTCAGAGGAGGGTGCCCAGGAGCAGAGGGTGAGCCCAGGGGACAGGGCACTTATGTGTCCCTTGCCTGACCCTAGCCCTGGGATGCTCCCATCTGCTCTGCTGGGTCCCGGCTGGCCCAGGCTCAGTCCTCCTGGGCTGCCTGCTGACTTGGCGTGGTGGTACTGGGTACCAGGTGGTGGAACTGGGTACCAGGTGGTATTCTCTGGGACCTCGGGCCAGACGCAGGTCCCCTGCCAGCACCTCCCTGCCCTGCCTCCCAGGCTCCACCACCAGGGCTGGTCTGAAACAAGGGCTGGACGGTGGTCTGTTGTGCTGAGGGGGGAAGGGAAGGTTGGGCCTGCGCTGGACACCCCACAGACAGGGCCAGTGCTTCCAGAAGACTCCATCTCACGGCCTTCCATCCAGCGGGCTCGGCAGAGCCCCCAGACCGGGGTGAGGGAATCCACCATGGACCAAACGCCACCGCTCTCTAGCTGCCAAGAGGCAGGCACCACACCTGCCCCCTCCGGCCCAGGCCAGCAGCCCCTCACCCCTGCACCAGGCCTGGCCAGGGCGTGGCCACAGCTGCTGGGGCGCAGACCCGGGTGCTGCCGGTTGGGGAGTGTAGGTTTCCTCTAAAAGCCGCGCCCGCTCTGCGTCCCTCGGTCCCTGGGTCCTGCTGCCTGCCCCAGCTCCCCCACCTGTCCTGGGTCTGTCTGGCGGCTATGCCCCTCCTGGGCCCCAGGTCACGTGCTCACTCACCAGGCACAGAGTGGGGGTCTCTGTGCAGGCAGGGGAAGCGGCACCTTCACGAGGACAGAGGGTGGGCGTCGGGGGACTGTGACACAGAGGAGGCTGGCGAGGTGCGGCAAGAGGGCGCTGTGGGCAGCTCTGGAAGTCGGGGAGCCTCGAGGCCCACACCTCAGGAAGGCCTAGACACTGCAGGCCCAGAGATGACCCCGAGGACTTTGAGGGCCCCACCCTGCCACCTGCCCACAGCCGACTGGGTGCCTGCTGGGCCTGGGTGTGAGACGGCCATCAGAGGAGGATGTGGCAGGACGGTCACCCATCTTGAGCCAGGGTGGGGCCACCTTGTGTCCTGACTTAGGCAAGAATCTGGCACCAGGCTGTGGCACTCTGGTGGCCTAGAGGAAGGGTCAGTAACTGACACTCAGCCGGGATTTGAACATGTGCATTCTGAGGGTATTGAAAGGCTGGCGTGGGCGGGCTGTCCCAGGCCAGGCAGCTGGTGGGGGCCCGCTGGGCTGTGTCCACACCTCAGGGTAGCACACACAGGGTTGACATTCTTCCGGCTGCAGACACTGAGCTCCGAGCAGAGTCCGACCAGGGCTGGGCCACATCCAGCCGTCTTGGTGTGGACACGGCCTGCAGTGTCCTGTCTTCTGCATGGAAGTGGACGGGCATCTGGGCCACACAACAGAGGAGGCGTGCAGCCTATGGTGGGGTGTCCTTGTCCAGCCCTTGGATAGCCAGCCTATTCTCAGCATGGACATGGACACTGCTCCAAGACACTCTGGCTTGACAGGGGACACCTGCCATGAATAACTGATGCAGGACAGGGGAGCAGGACCCTGGGGTCCTGCCCACTAGTGTGTCTGGAGGTGAGGGCAGGAGGTGGTTCCCCAGATCTTCATTCTCCTGGGCCCGTGGCTGCCCAGAGAACCCTTCCCTTAGGGGCTACGTGGGACGGAGCTTTGGGTCAGCCTCTTTGGAGGTGAGAACAGGCCTGGGCCAGTGAGGGAGGGGCAGGCTGGGCTGACCGCTTCCCAGGCTGCATCCCCACCCCCTGCCCCCGTCCCCCCGTGCAGCTCCACCCTCGGCCCTGACCCGAATGCCCTGGGAAGAGACCCCAGGCGCCAGCTTGGGGGTCCCAGAGAAGCAGGGCTGTGGGTCTGGGTTAGGGGGGCACACAGGGCAGCTCAGGAAGCAGCAGCCAGAGCCCCACCAGAATCAGGCCAGGGCGAGCTGTGGCCACAGCATGCCTCGAGAGCAGCCACTCTGGTGGACACAGGGACACACGCCTGCTGCAGCCCAGGGCTTTGTGAGGTGTGGGGGCAGCTGCTGGTGGAGGCCAGGACCACCCGAAGTGCACGAGTTAAAGTAGGGTAACCCAGTCCGCCCATATGGCCCCCGGGGTCTACTCACTTCAAGGGGCTCCAGATAAATGTGGCTCGAAGTGGGGTGGGGGGCTCTGGAGCCATGGGGTAGGCAGGTCTGCAACAGAGGTCCCTGCCTCTCCTCTGGGCCCAGGACCCCACCCTGGGTCAGCCCACCCTCCAGGGCCTTGCTCTGCCTGACCGGCCCTCAAGTCCCTCAAGCCACTGTCCCCAGAAGCTGCCCTTCCTGCAGTGTGTGTTGGTGACCTGCTCATGCCAGGCCACCTCCGGCTGCTGCTGGAGGCACACCTGTGAGGGTGGTGGCTGGCAGCCTGCAGAAGCCCCCCAGGCCAGGCTGGGCCAGATTGGGCTCAGGTGCTGCTCTCCAGCAGGCCCCGGGCGCCGCCAGGTGAGGAGGACGGTAGGCGGGCCTGCGCCTTGACCTCCCAGGCCGGAGGGGCGCCCAGGGAGGCCTTCTTCAGCGGCAAGTGGGATCAGCTGTCCTGGGGCAGGCTTAAAGCCAGGCCCGGGCAGGGGTGGGTGTGGGCGTGCGCAGCAGGAGTCCGGCCAGCCCTCCGACCTGCCCATGTGGCCCTTCCTGAGCCACGCTCTCTTCCCGCCGCCTACTGAGGCCTGGCTCCAGGCGGTCTCCTCAGACCCCGAGGCCCAGGGCTGGGGGGCCTGCAGCAGGCCTGAGAAGACCCCTCTGGAGTCAGGGGGTGGGGGTGGGGGTGGGCAGGGGGAGCGGTGGGGAGAAGCTGAGGAGGACGACAGAGACGCCAGCTTCTTGCTGTCCTTGCTGGAGCCGGGGAGCCCGGCCGAGAGCCCAGGGCGGGACCAGGTAGCACCCCGCGGGTGGCCAAGGGCTGGGCCCACCCACCTGGGCCAAGCGGCAGTGAGGCGAGCTCTGGGCTGCGGCCCAGGCAGCCTCCAGCTGGGGAGGCCTGGGGTGGAGTCCGTGGGCCCAGGAGCTTCCCTCCAGCTGGTGGCTTCGGAGGAGGTTTATCCTGTCCAGAGAAGGGTTTGCCCCGAAGGGGCTGTGACCCTCTGCCAGGGCTGGCCGGTCACTGCTGCCCTCCCTCTGAAGGGCCCACAGGCTGTCCCCCTCCCAGGTTGACTGCGGACAGGGCCTGCAAGAGCTGGAGGCCATCAAGCTGAAGCTATGGGCCCTGGAGCAGGCGAAGCAGCGGCCGGAGCCACCCAGCATCCAGGGGAGGGCCAGGGAAGAGGACGGCACAGGGACTGGGCAGCTGCTAAGCAGCCCTGGGACCACAGGTAGGAGCCCCAAGACCCCCGCCGAGCAGCGCGACCTTCCCTGAGGGGTGGGAGGTGCCCACTGTGGGGGGCCTTCTGGTCCTGAGGCCTTGTCTCCACAGGCTGCCCCTTCCCTGGGACCCCCAAGGAGAAGGTGGAGGCTGACCACAGATCCATCTACGTGGGCAACGTGAGTGGGGGAGGGCAGCAAGGGCTCGTCCCTCCCGGAGGCGCAGACCCCAGGGTGGGCAGGTGGTCACACTAGTGTCCTCTGTGGCTGGGACTCACGAGATGGAGGGACGGAGGGAGGGGGCATATCTGGCCTCCAGGAAGGATGGGGTGGGCCTGCTGCCCCACATGAGGACGCCCCAGTGCCACCGCGTGGGACTTCGGGTGAGGTCTACCACCTTTAACAAGCCTGGTGCCCCTCGCCTGAGCCGAGGCCCTGGGCGCAGCCTGGGTGCACCGAGGGGGGCGGGGGAACCCCTCTCAGCCTGTCCTCCGGTCCTCTGGGAACTGGGGCCTCGATGACCCCCGGCCAGGGGCCCAGTCTTGGGGTCCTCCCAAGCCCTCAGCCAAGGAGACCTCCAAGGGGCGGGGCCTGTGCAAGCCCAGCCCCACAGTGCTGCCCTGCCACAGCAGGTGGACTACGGGGGCACGGCCAGGGAGCTGGAGGCCCACTTCCACCACTGCGGCCAGGTCCACCGCGTCACCATCCTGTGCGACAAGTTCTCGGGACACCCCAAGGGGTCGGTGCAGGGCCTCGGGCAGGGCCGGGGGGTCAGCAAGGCTGGGTGGGCAGCAAGACTGGGTCCTCACTGTGCCCATGCTGCCCTCAGCTATGCCTACATAGAGTTTGCCACCAAGAGCTCAGCCCAGGCTGCCATGGAGCTGGACGAGAGTGTCTTCCGGGGCCGGGTCATCAAGGTACCTGTCTCTGGCGTCCTGCACACCTCTAGGCCACCCAGTGCACTGCAGTGCCGAGCACTTCTTATCGCGAATCCTTGGAATGGAGCCAACAGGCACAGAGAGGCTGGCCACCTACCCAAGGACACACAGTTGTCCCAGCCAAGCCCTCTTTGTGTGCCTTGGGCAAGCTGGCAGGGCAAGGCCAGGGCGGGGCATGGCAGGAGCCTCAGGCCCTCATTCCCAAAGCTGGACCTTCTGGGTGTGGCCTGAAGGAGACACTCCCCTCCCTTTGCAAGGGTGAGCACCAGGCACGTCTCGTGACCACGGCTGTAGCCAGGTGCAAGAGGGAGCTGTAGGCCTACGTGGGCATCCGGAGAAGCTCAGAGCCCCAAGCCCTGGGCCCAGCCTGAGGGCTGCTGCCAGGCCACCCTGGCCAGGAGGAGGCAGGGACAGGTCCGGAACCCATGTGGCCTCTGGTGCCAGGTGCTGCCCAAGAGGACCAACTTCCCAGGGATCAGCTCCACAGACCGTGGGGGCCTGCGGGGGCCCTCGGCCTCCAGGGCCGCAGCCATCCTGTGCAGTGACCTCCAGTGCCGGTCCCGGTTCAGACCTCGTGGGCAGCACTGGTGAGTGGGCTGTGTTGGCCTGGAGATCGCGTGATGGGACTCGGGCTGCTAGCAGTTCTCTGGCAGAGGCCTGGCCCTGGCTGCCCAGGGTGCTGAGGCAGGGCCCTGCCGGACTGGAGAGCTGCCCCTTGGTCTCCCCAGGCTCAGCAGCACCCTGGTGTGAGGCCATGGTCCATGGCAGGGCTGCCCTGCAGATGGGCATCTGGACACATGGCAGCCGCCAGATGAGGCTCCTCCCTCCCGGGGACCTTCTCAAGAGGCCCTCATTCCCTGCCCGTGTCCTCACCGTGGGCCTCCTGTTCCCACAGGGCCCACGGAAGAGCCTCTCCGCGCTTCTCGCCGTATTGAAGGCACAGCGTTTTGAGAGGGGTGCAGTCAGGGGGATAGCCAAGTTTCCCTGGGGATACGTGTTGCAGATGGCCAGGTCTGTGGCTGGACCGTCCACCAGGGTGGTCTGGACCCCACGGCCACTGCCACAATTACACAGTCGGCCAGTGGGTGGCAGCCTGGGGCTCTGGAGATCTGGGTGGGGAGCAAGAGGAGGGCAGGCATCCCTGGGGCTGGGATGGGATCACTTGGTTCTTCAACCGATAGTTTTAAAGAAAAAGAGAAACCTGTGTGTCTTAGAATAAAGCATAAATTATATTAAATCTGAGTATTTTAAAAGCACTGACGACAGGTCTCCTGCCTCCTAGTTCACTGGGCGTGCTCCTCCGGGCGGACTCCAGAGGGCGCCGTGGGATGTGGCTGAGGGCCAGGGCACACTGGCCCCTCGAGGCACCTGGCCTAGGTCCACCTGGTCAGGTCAGGAAGCAGAAGTGGAGACCCCCTGGGCACCGTGTCCTGAGAAAGCTGCCACTTGGGCCCTCTGTGCCCAGAGCCCACAGGGAGCAGGGCCAGGCAGTGGGTCTTCCATCCTGCAGGAAAGGCTCTCGCTGCCGGGGACCTGTGCCCACGGCCCCCTCGTAATCTTGGGTCAGCGCTGGCCTTTCCAGCAAGGGGAGTGGTGCCCCAAACAGGGCCACGTCCCAACCTCCAAAATCCGTCGGTGTGAACTCATTTGGAAAGTCCTGTCTCTTTTTTCGGTCATTTTTAGTGGTACATGGACACAATGCCTTCACTTTTGTTGTTATGTGGTGCTGAGGATTGAACCCATGGCCTCACCTGCAGCAGGAAAGCGCTCTACCACTGAGCCACAGCTCCATTCCAGCCCCTGGAAAGTCTTTTTTGAACAGGATTAAGCCTTGGGCACTTTACCACTGCTCAATCCCCGTCCTGTTTATTTTTTGGGACAGAGTCACAGCTGGGATCACAGGTGTGGCCGTCACACCTGAGTAATCCAGAAACCTTTCAACACACTTTCAGACTTTCTTTCTGTGCAGCATGACGTGCACACCTGTAACCCGCTACTTAAGAGGCTGAGGCAGGAGGATGGGGCATGTGAGGCAGCCTGGGTAACTCGGACCACCTCTCAAAACAAAAACAGGCTGGGCACAGCAGCGCAGGCCTGTGATCCAGGGCTCTGGAGGCCGAGCCCCAGCAACTTAGTGAGGCTCTAAGCAACTTAGACCCTGTCTCTAAATAAAACAAATTAAAAAGCAGGGGGGCGGGTGGCTGGAGATGTGGCTAAGTGGGAAAGCGCCCTGGGTTCAACCCCTGGTACAGGGGAAAAAGGCCTCCAGCTGAGGTTCTCCTGGACTTTCGACCCTCGGTTCAGTGATTCAATGACACATGACACTGAGCCCAGAAACACCAGACGGGACAGGCAGAGGGAGAGCCGGAGTGACCCCCCAGTCTAGGGGCCAGGAAGCGCCAGAGCAGGAGCTGCTTCAAGGCCACCCGGGGGACGTGTTAGCGCAGCTCCGACTCCTTAGGCCCCTGTGTCTGGTGAGTCAGACGTCCAGCTGGCCTGGGTCTGCTCCACCCGATGGGCAGTGCAGTCTGCAAGTGGCCCGTCCTGGAGGGAGGTACACCTGGCTCCAGGGAGGACTCAGGGCTGCAGGCCCACCCAGAAGGTGGGGCCCCAGAGGCTGAGGGTCAAGGTCCTGCCAAGAGAGGAGCCCGCGGGCCCCTGGGGGAGGGGCTGCAGCAGGCTCACTCGGTGGGGGGGCTCGGGCCGGCCATCCTCCCACCCTCCCTGCCCAGGGCCCAGGGGCTGCCTTCCGTCTGGGTGCCCACCAGTCTTCTGGCCTGAGGCAGCACACTCCTGGGGACCTGCACAGGCTGGGGGCGGGGGCTGATGACGGCCCCCTTCAGCGTGGCTTCCAGCTCTGCCGCTGCGTGGAAGTGGCTCTGGCCACACAGGGTGGGCCTCTAACAGGGAGGCTGAGGGAGCAGCCCTGGAGAGCCGCCAGGTGGCACTCGGGTAGGGCTGGCCTCAGGGCAGAGTGAGTGGACCCTGCTGCAGCTCAGTCCTGACTCTGGCCTTCCAGAGCTTAAGATGGGGAGCCACCTAACAACGCGGGGAAAACCCCTCGCATGAAGCACACTCAGGAGTGGTCTGGCCACCCTGACAGAACACCCACGCAGCAGCTTGAACAAGAGGAGTCTGTTTTGTTTTCTTACATGAAAAAAGCTGAAGGTAAACAGTCCAGGGCCACATGCCAGCCAGGTCCAGGCCCAGTGAGCACTGATCCCCATCCTCAGAGCATGAATCTTGTCCTCATGCCCTTAGAAGGATTATCTGAGCTCCAGCCATCACACCAATGTTCCAGATAGGACATGGTGAAGGATACTCCATAGCCAGCTGAACCCCCTTATAAATGTGGCTCTCCTGTCAGGTGTGGTGCTGCCCGCCTGGAATCCCAGCAGCTCAGGAGGCTGAGGCGGGGAGATGGTGAGTTCAAAGCCAGCCTCAGCCACGACGAGGCACCAAGCAACTCAGTGAGACCCTGTCTCTAAATAGGGCTGGGGACATGGCTCAGATTGAACCTGAGTTCAAGCAACCTGCAGCTGTCAGCTGTCAACCTGCGGCTCTATTGCAATGGCAAGCTCTCGAAGCCTGGAAGACCTGTCCTGCTGAGCCAGAGCGGGGGACTGCTGTCTCTGGCCAACAGGCTCCAGTAAAGCTGGGGTTCTGCTGGGAAGGGAGGAGAAGGGGCGTCGGGCACATGCACTTTGTTTTGTCCCGACCACAGCCAACACTGAAGGCCAACCAGGGTGCCTCCATGGGCTGCCGTCCGTTCCGTCCTGTCCTCCCTCTCCAAACACAAGCCTCTTGCTGAAGACCAAAGGCCCCAGGAGAGCCTGGGGCCAGGACGTCAGAGTTAGCCATCGCTCACTGCACCTCCAGGCCTCTCCAGGTCCTCCTGTTCCCCCGGTGACCAGGGCCTAGGGCTTTCTTCTCGTGTATTTTTTTAAAAAATCAGCACCATTCTTGCTGACTGGGAGTAGTACAAAGACCAGGAGAAGCAGCTCACCTCCACACCACTGCAGCCGAGGGGCCGTCAACACACCCGTCCCAGGCCCTCCTGGGCCCTGCGAGTCCTGACACAATGCGCAGGAGGGCAGGGCTCAGAGGGGCGCCAGGGCTCAGGAAGCCACTGGCTTTAAAGGCATTTAAACCTCCAGGACCCCAAGATAAAAAGAAAGAACAGCAGGGAACAGGGCACACTAAGAACCCCAGCAACTCAGGAGGCCAAGTTCAAGGCCAGTCTGGGCAACTGAGCGAGACCCTCAACAACTTAGTGCGACCTTGTCTCCAAATAAGAACTTTTTAAAAGTGCTGGGATGTGGCTCTACGGTAAAGTGCCCCTGGCTTCAACCCCCAGTACCAAAAAAAAAGACCCTCACCTCTCAGACAAGCCACTGAATGACAAAAGCCACCAGATGAGAAGGTGCTGCCCCCTCCTGGTCACAGCCAGGGTTGCCATGTGGCCTCTGGCTGCAGAGGGCTCAGGGAAGCCAGGGGCTGGAGCAGCAGCCTGGACGCCTCTGCTGACCACCTTGGCAGGAGCAGGAGGGAAGGCTCTGTGGTCAGGAAGCAGGGGCAAGTCGGGAATTGTGCCCACAGCAGAGTCCAGGTGGGTGTCCAGGAGGGGAGAGAAGTCCCACACCCAGAGCCCTTCGGGCTCCTGAAGGTGTGGGCAGTTACCCACGCCTCCACCCTTGAGGCTGGTTCTGGGCCGTCCAGCCTACAGGAGGCCCCAGCCAGAGGTGAGAGGCAGAGGCTGACCTCCTGTCCCCTGCCCCTTCCCTGCACCTCCTGCTGTGGCCACAGCCCCCCCTGATGCTACAGGGGAACTCAGCAAGAGCCCTCTGCTGAGAGAGAAGAACCCAGCGCATCTCACCTCAAAAGGCCTTTAGTGGGGAGGCACCCGCACCAGCCCAACCCGCCCCCGGGACAGAAAGGACAGAAACAGAAGTCTCTAAACAGCTCGGCACAGCGTCTCCTCAGGGCAGAGTCCTGCTCAGCACACCTGGATCATCATGGACGTCACCATGTTGTCGAAGGCCCTAGGCAGGAAATGGGCCATTCAGAGGCAGCCGGTCTCCAAGCCTCTGTCCCTCTGCTGGTCACCAGACGACCACCCCAACCCCAGATGCTCAGGGCTGCTCAGGGCTGCTCAGGGCCAGGCAAGTGAACTCGGTGAGGCCAGGCTCAGGACACCAGGAATGAGACCACAGCTGCCCACCGCCCTCCCTGGCGGTCCTCACAGCATGGAGGTCCAAAGGTCGCAGACAGGTGGGCAGGCAGCAGTGACGAGAACAGTGCTGGCCCTGCCCTGCCTGCTGTCACCTGGGACCTAGGAGGACCTGACACACAGGGTCCAGGCTGAGAGGAGGGCCTCTTGGGAACTTTCTGGAACAAGGGATTCTGGGAAGCAGGTCTGGAGTGTGAGCTCATGAGCCCTGCGCTCCCCGATGGCGTGCCTTCCTGAAGTTCGTTCAAGCCTTGCGTATTTTCACTTGTTGCTCTACTTGTCTGTGGCACTGGGGGTTGAACCTGGGCCTCGTGCCTGCCAGGCAGGTGCTCTCACCACTGCACCGCCCTGCCCCAGGTCTGTCCATGTGGGAGCAACCCGCAAAACCCGTGATCCAGGTTCCTGACCATCCCAGCTCAACGTGAAAAGCAGTTCAGGCGAAGACACAGCAGATCTTCTCCCTGAACAGGGCCTTTGCTTAACTCCCCGAGGGCCTCAGGTAATTGGGGGCTCACTTGGGAAACCAAATGGGCAAGTTCTGCCCCCTCCTTCCATCTGCTCTGTACCTGGAGATCTGTCAGAGCTGGTTCAGAGATCAGGGTTTTGCTGCTTTAAGTGGACCTCGGGGGGACAGGGCTCCTGACCTTCCAAGGCTGGCCTTTTCAGCAAGGGAGGCCTTGTACAGAGAGGAGACTGGAAGCACGGCCCACCTGGACTGGATGCGGTCCCCAGGGTTGTAGAAGGGGTTGCACATCACATCCGTGTAGGAGTTATGCAGCTTCCGGAACATCTGAAACAAGACCCAACATACCCACGGCACTGCCAGACCTGTGGCTTCCCAGGATTTCAATTAAGTGAGAAAGAGAATACCAGACGTCCCCCCAGGCGTGGCCTCAGAGCCCTGCACCTACACTGCGGATTTCGTTGTCTCGAAGGGCTGTGTTGGAGGAATCCACCACCATGACAAACTTCACCTTGGAGTTGGTCACGTAGCCGTATCTGCACAGTGAGTCAGGGAACATGCTCTAACACCGGATGCGTGACAGCAACTGGCCCAGCCCCACACCAACAGCTCAGTTGGTGGAGTGCTTGCCTCACATGCACAAGTCCCTGGGTTCCATCCCCAGCACCATAAAAATAAATAATAAATAAACAAACACTTTTAAAACGCACCTATGAGCTAAGGGACCTCTGGGTATCCTTGCTTGGAGGAGCCAGACACCCTGAGTCACAGGAAGTGCCCAGGCCAGGATGGTCCTGCAGCACAATGCAGGTGGGAAACTGCACACCTGGAGTGCCAAGGTGACTGCTGGAGGCACGTAACCCCACCAATTCACAGACCCAAGTCCTTCTGGGCACTGGAGATGTCTAACCCTCTTTATAAAGCAATACTGGGCCCAGGAAGCCAACTGCAAATAGATAAGGTGAATCCCCCACCGCTGCCCCAGAGGTCATATCCTAGTGTAACACGCGGCTTCCAGGCCAATGCTGGTGTACACAAGCTGCATTTCAGCCTGAAGGGCTGTCTCTGAACTCCGAGGTCTCAACCTTATCCTAAGGTCAAGAGCATCCAGTGGTGCGTGAGGCAGGACCTAACAATGAAATCCCTGTTGCTCTAAGGTGGCAGCCCCTGCTGGTACAGGGCAAGGAAACCCGCCCCCCAGTCTTCCCCATCTTCCAGGAGAGCAAGTCCAGCATTTCCCAAATGCATCTTCAATTACAAGGAGATTAAAAGGAAGACTTCGTTAGCTTCAGGCCCCTCAATCTCCTTGGATAACTGAAACTCTCACTCCTTTTTTTCAAGTGTTTCCCAAGCACACCCTGAGATAACAGCATCCTAAAAGATACACCTTGTAGTCCTCTGTTGGGTACAGCAGGCCCAGGTAGAGCTCCCTCTGGTCCACCAGGGCCTTCCCCATGGTGGAGATCTTCTCATCTACCACATCCAGGGAGGTGTGCACCATGTAGTGAAACTTCAGCTCACTCTCCATGGGGGTGCTGCGGATGTACAGGGGGTAATTCTGCAAGAAAGGACAGTGGCCACTGAAAGGGCAGGCACCCACCCAGCCTGTGCCAGCTCTGACTAGTGCCAAAGAGCCCCCTGAGAGTGGCCTTGTGGCCTACCAACCCCCTAGGAGATGTGCTCTCACTCTAAAATCCACAGCTTAATTCTCCACACTGTTGTGGGTATGTCTTCAGGGGCCTGACCTAATCCAAGCAGTTTATGCCGGGGGTCAGCCTAAGGGTGGGCAGAAAGGACCCATAAAAAGGGGCTTGAATGCCCCCTGACAGCTGGCCCTGTCACCTGGGTGGGTCACTCACCTGTGGTTCACTGTGTCCTGGCCACCTTCCATTCTGTGGAGCCTTCCCAGTATGGCACCATGAATGCCAGCTGTTTTTACCATGCAAGGACAGGAGCCCTGTCACTAAGCCCTTGGAGTCTTGGCTCAGCCTCCGCAGCTCAGCACTGCTGCCGGCCTGACCTCAGAGACAAGCACCTTTCCTGGGCTCCCACAGACCACAATTCACACCTGCCCAGCATAAGGTAATGTAGACATCTGGTGAACAATACGTATGCTCACACCTACTGATACCTGACGGGTAACGGATCAATAGATCAGAAAATAGTCCCTGACACATAATGGCTCCACAAGAAACACTGGCCTTCACCGTGAGTTTCCAGAAAGATTAAATGCACTTTGATGTATGATGTAAGGCCACCCTAAGTAGAGCACCTATTAAGCACTGCTAAGCTGTGGCGTGTGCTCAGAGGGAAGCTGGCCAAGAGCCTGGAGAGGCCACGTCCCTGCCACCCCCGAAGCCAGTCTCAAGAAGAATGGCCAGGAAGCAGGAGCACCTGAGTCGCCCTGAGCTCCTAGGCCTTCAGACAGAGCTTTCCGGAGGAAACGCGCGGCCAGCGGGCTGCAAGGGCCGCGGCCAAGGTGAGCGCGCAGGGCCGCGTGGGGCGGCGGACAGGCTCGTGGGAGAGGAGGGGCAGGTGGCAAGGGAGGGGGACGCCACGCCACGCCGCCGGGAGCCGGGGACAGC